TTGAAGTTCATACTAAATGTGTTTCTAAGTTACTAAGATAAAGAAAATGTTTAATGAAGTGTCGCCATAGAATTAAAAAGGGACAAGAACGAACATTCATATTGAATCTAAAATAGGAAGAATATAAAATAATATATTTTGAGGTAGTATGATTTTAACTGAAATGTGATCTCTCTCCGCGATATCATAATAATATATTGAAAGCCGAATTTGTATATTTTGTTGTTATATTAAATTTTCAATATTTTTATCTTTAAGGAAAGTCTCATTATGTCTGAATCAAAAGACTTCCTCTTCGTACTGATTCGTAAACGCGTGTTAATCCGCATGTGATAAATTTGATTAACTGGTGTCATTATCTTGATGTGGATCTGAATCTCGAAATTTGGATCCCTTTTTAAAAACCACCCTTAAGGCCATCCTTCAACTAGAGACCGGATCTCTCGATCTGTAAACTCCCGAGAACAGATTTCACTTATCTGTGCCGATTAAGTGGTACAAATTCTATGGATCTGTATCCCTGGCTAACTCACAATTTTATAATTCTTATTATAAAATTAGGTGAAAATTTCATAATATATAATATGAGCATTGATAAATAAAGACAATTGTAAACTCAACAGGTATAATAAAATTATTCATTTATTTATTTTGTGATGAAAGATACAAAAATTGGTAATTTATATTTTTTTTATTTTTATATTTCTTGAATTTATTATGTATACTTATCCTTATTTCATTATAAATTATTATTTTTTGTTTTACATAGTACATAATTTTAAAATATTTTTATTTCTATAATCCAAAATTGAATTTTAGATAATAAAAATAAATAATCTTAAAAAAAATCCTTAGAACATATGAGAATAATAATACAAAAGAAAATTACAATTTATGAGTTTATCTTTCTGCCAGTGACTTAAAATTATCAAAATTTTGTTTTAAAGAAAGTATTTCTAAAATTTCTTGTGTAGCTTGACAAAGTTTATAAAATGAAATTGCCATGTTTAATAATTTTTTTTAATAACCTTCATTTCTTACTTTTGAAACATATGTATATATAAATTAGAGGTAACATTCTACATATGCTATGCTTATAAAGCATATGACATATATAATTGTTATATCTAATATAAATCTTATTAAAAATATATTTCAAATGTGTTTATAAATTATATTTATTTGGGCTGCTCATCTAGATACATATGCAATTCAATCCATTAACATATTTGTTACTATAAGCATGTTAATAAATTGAACTTTAAGTTTATTCAAGACTCCAAACCTGGAATTAACTAAAATAAGATTTTTTTCAAAACATTTCATTTTCTTTACTTTAAAATCTCCAACTTTTTCAAAAAATTCTTTATTAAAATTTATATAAAAGAATTTTATAATGAATATTTTCATCAGCTGCATAAATTTGTTATATTTGAACTGCATAATTTATATCTTTTAACCATTTGTAATAAATATAATTTAACTACTTTTCAGAGAAAAATTGACATTTCCTTTTTTTAAGTAAGAAAAATAAAATCTGGAACAATTACATTAAAATTATAAATTGTACAATAAAATATACTGACACCTTGTACAATAAAAAGTTTACTTCAGTGAATGTATACTGTACAAAAATGAAATATAAATTTTTCTTTTTATATAGAATTATCTGTATCTTTTGCTTTTTCAATGTTTTTTTTGGTCCTCCTCTTCAGTAAATTCACTTGTTTTGGTAATATAAATTTTAAATTTTTTGTCTTTTTTTTCTGTAAAAAAATAACAAAAATTCATTGTTTAATTAATGTTATAAATTTAACAGTATTTTAAAAAAATTTAACTTTAAATATATTGTTTTTCATTTATGTATAAAAAAAGGAAATAAATATATATAAATGAAAACAAATCATTGCATATTTCATTTTTCAACTATTTCCCACTTATCAATTTTAATAATTAAAAGTTTAAACAATAAAACTTTTAATTTAAACTCTTAATTTATAGATTTAGAAACTACATTTTAGCAATTTATTTTCATATCAAATATGAATTATTGAAAATAATTCAAAATAAAATTCAAATACTTGATAATGATAGTCACATAACTGTCATTAGACAAACACCACAAAATATAAGGGCTTGTACACATTAGGCGTTTTGCGTTGCGTTAAACGCGCGTTAGCAGCGTACACACCGCTTGTTACTTCGGCTTTCCACAACCGTTTAGTGGAGCGTTAGCACTGGCTCAGTTTGGAAATGGACGTGAAAGTAATTACTTGTGTGTGCCTCCTCGTATAGAAGACCTCATCGTATAAAAGACGATGGCAGAGGCAAAGAGAATTTTGGGTGCACCCAACATTACGAGATAGACTGATGCATGGAATGTTTCTGACGTTGTATCCAAAACTAAGATAATATGAACCCAAATTTTTAATTCTTTTAGAATATAAAATCATTTGACGATGGCAGGTGTCTTTTAGATTTCATCAATAAATAGATCAGTATCGAAATGATCGTTCTCCAATTCGGCCAACGTACGTCCACTCTACCCGAAAGCGTGCGATTGAATGTACAGTACAACATGGCAGCACATATATCTCCAAAACGCGCGTTTTAACAAAAATCTATCAACGCGCGTTTGACGCGTCCTTGGCCAAAAGCGCGCGTTTGAGTATGTATGCCTATGCAGAACTCTTGGTTCTTTAAAACGCACGTTTTTAAACGTCTAGCGTGTACACAGCCTAAGTCAGTTTTGACTGATAAAAAAAATATCAGACTATTCATCTTAAAGTATTTACAAGGAAAGGTGGTCCACAGAGAGATAGCCTCAATGAATCACAGTGGGTCTCACAAACCCAGCTCAATCTTTAGTTAACATTTTTTTAAATATAAAAATACTGAAAAAATTTATATTCTTTCAACTTTTCAGTCCGATCAACATGCGGTTAGAACGTTTTTTTATTTGACTTTACTTGGACTAGATGTCAGTCATATCAAAAGCTTCCAGTCGAAAAATTTGCCGGGGAAACTCATTACTTCTATATATTGCGTAATAGCGGGAAATAATTAAACCAAAAGTATTTTAGTTTTGCGGGCAATTTTACCTCGAAATGTTTCTATCAAAACACTTATTCGTTTAAATAACGTCAATAAATATGTAAATTAGAGCTAAATTGGAGCTGAAAAACGACGAAAATAGCGATTATCTAACATTTGTTTACAGTTTTACCTTGATTTACGTAGAAGGAGAGATTTTCTTATTGTAGCCNATTTTTCTGTCTATATGTATGTATGTATGTATGTATGTATGTATGCATGCATGTATGTATGCATGCATGCATGCAAGTTAAAATAATATAATGGTTTAGCTAAAATTAGATAAGATATTTAAATAAAGTGGGTACTGCTGTAAATATATTACCAAAATTGCATTTAAAACTAAATTTTTTTAATTCAACTTATATCAAAGATTTTGTCATTTTACAAGATTAGTTAAAATTAAAGTGCTATTATATATATAGTAACACTTTAATCTAAACTGATATTAAATATTAGAAGAAAAAAATAATATAAATTAGTTCAATTCTAATGCTTTTCTAAACAAAAAATATGAGTCAAGTTGATTACATATTAAATTCATGTAAATTATTTAAATTCTGTGAAGAACAGAATTTGTTAGATGTTTTCTCAGAAAAACTTTTATATTCCTTGGACTCACATAATACTCTTCATATTCAATATTGCATGCTTGGCACAGATTCAAATTAAAACTCTGAATCATGAATATGTGATTATCATCCAAAAATATGTATAAACAAATTTGAATATGACAAATGAAAACAATGCATGCAAGTTTTTTCCAATCATTACAAAAACAGATAAAGTTTGGAAAAACTGGCCATTGATCAAATATATTTATAACTAATTACAGCTCATCTTCTGTCTGAACACAAACTAAGAATTACATTGAAGTGCAAGCAAGTCAGTAACATTGTTTCAGCAGGCCATTGGAATGATCTCCTGTTGCTATGGCAGCAGTGATATCACCACTAGCATAAAAAAAAAAGAATTAAGAAAAATTGCATGTGCCTGGGCTAGCAACTTTGGACGGGACACTGTCACTTTGACTCCACTTTATCTTGAAAATGAAATCATGGACTTCCAATTTTTATTACATTTTCAATTTCATCATCTTATTATACATAGTGACAAAGTTTAATCAAAATCAATCAATCAAATTTTGAAACAAACTCAATTCTACAAGTGCTAGTGAAGCCATATAGAAATGGCTTCACTAGCACTCCACTTCAATCAATTTAATATTTTTTGTAAAAACTGTTCCAGTTAACTGTATTATTTCTCTATGAAACCAAAATATATGAATATACTGTAGATTCTTGTTGGCCAAATTGTTCAAACAACTATGAATCTATTGTCATTGGAAAGCTTAAATCATTGAAAGACTTCAACCTTTAATCATTCTTTAACTGTTAAAAGTCAATTTCCATTTTATGATATTATATCATGTATCATATATTATTTGTGCATAGTTACATAGAACAAAATTTGTATTATAAAAAATGAGATCATAATATATAACCTACAATTATTTGCAAAGTTATTGCATATGAAGAAAAACTATGTAAAATATAATTAAAAAATATTGTTTTAATTTACAAACTGATTAAATGTACTTTTTTTATTGTGTGTACAAAGCAAAAACTGCATTGTAGATAAGTTAAAATTAGTTATAATATATAAATTTGCAAAAATGTAGTGGATATTTGAGAATATAGTAAATGAAGTTTACTCTGATCTCTCCTCATAATCATATATATAAATTTCCTTGACACTTATTCTTGCTTTCAACTTAAGTTCAGAGGAGAATTCTAAAAATAATTCTGTTAAGAAAGATTATGCTTGCAATATTTTATTTTAAAAAGATATCATTTAATTAGCTTCAATTATAAATACTTAAATATAATTGATTTAAATTTTCACACACCTTTACAAAATCAATATTATTTTGAACAATGTTTTTGGCAGCTTCAGACACAAAATATAAGTTTTTCTTCCTTTCTCCTGCACAACGACTTAAAAGCTGTTTATATGGAAATGAATCCAATTTATAGAAATCCCTGAGGAAAAACAAAATATTTTGTACAATTTGTATATTAAAATATATATACAAATAAACAAAAACATTTTAATTGTTGATCTTCGATTTATTATCTGAAGATTAGATCAGATACATGAACATAGTAAATTTATAATTGAAGAATTTTAAATCACAAAAATTAAATGTATTTTAATTTTTCCTTAAAATAATAATTTATATACACTAGACTCTTGCTAATCTAGCCATTCCTTGCACAAAGAGTGCCAGATTACTAAATATGTATAGACCTAAAGATAATGAATGATGTTACATCTGATTCAAAAATAGAATACATCTACTTCAAAATAAGAAAAACAGTACTGCTTCAAAAAGGAATTAGTACTGAAGGTTGACACCTTCAGTACTAATTCCTTTTTGAAGCAGTACTGTTTTTCTTATTTTGAAATTATATACAGTAATTGTAAATTTAATATACATGTTTAAAAAAACATGAATGGAGGCATATTATATTAGGAGATATAACATATTATAATAGGAGATATGACAGATAATTGAGAGGCTAGATCAGTGGTTCACAAAGAGGGTATTATCACTTCATGGGTGGTGAGTAAATCTAGGGGACAAATAGAAGCAAGGGGGTGGTAGGACTGAATGATAACTGTAGGCAAGAAAAGAAGGGTCACTGACCACCTTTCCTTACCTCTGATAAATCAGGCAAGAAGAAACATTGAATTTAATGGTTTCTAGATGATTACAATAATGTATAGTGAGGACACAAAGTGTGAGGTTCTTAGAAAAGCTTTTCTAAGAATTATTTGAAACCTTTCTCACATAAGGGAAAATGGATTGGGAGTGTTGGGTATAAGTTTATGGAACCAAGGGGACAGTGGCTCTAAAAAGTTTGGGAATCATTGGACCAGATATACTAAGGGCCAGAAAAACAAGTGTGTACTGCAATACTATCATAAAATTAATCACTTAAAATTAACTTCCAACAAATTTCTTTTTGCTAATAAGTCAACAACTTTATTAAAACTGAATGAAAAAATTGAGCAACACAAAATGATCTTTTACATCCAAGACAATAAGTTTCTTGCAATAAAAACTATATCTAATTTAATTTCTATTTCAAATTACAAACCTAATATTTGGCCAAATAATTCCTTCTTCTTTAAAAAATATATAAGGATCTTCTTTATAGCCCCAAATTTTCTTTTTCTTTCTGGGAGGGCTTCTTTAAGAAAAATAATAAAATATTGTATATTGCAATTTATTCCAAAAAATAATTAAATTAAATGAAAAAGTCTTTCCTGCTGTTTCTGTATTTTTTATATATTATTCACAACATAACATCCATTATTTGAATTATTTTTATAATTAAATAAAAATATATTTTTTTGTATTCAAAATAAACATTTTTTAAATATAGAATACATTAAATTAATAGAACAAAAATTCAGTTTATAAAAATTCATAAGTAAATGATTGCATTAGAAATTATTTGTATTAAAAATAAAAAAATGTAAAGTTCTTTGCATTTGATATAAACATATTTTAAAAGTAAGAGTCTGTCCAATTTAAATTTTGTAAATAAAATCATTTATATAGTATAGATGATAAGATTAATTATTTTCATTTTAACATTATTTTAGAAATTAAATTTTGTTTCTAAAATTTTTTGTTGCATTTTTTGCACTTACTGCTAATGAAAAATTTTCCACATATTTGGATATTGTTTTCTGATCTAAAAGAAAAAAGCCCTTTTTTTTTATTGAATTAGAATTAAACTAGGAGTTGTATAATTGAAAATTTGAAATTACTTAACATATTAACAGTAAATGTTAATTTAATATTAATTCTAAATATTGCTCATGTTTTAAATTTTTTATTTTTCTCTTATTCAATTTATAGTAAAATGTTATGATTAATTAATACAAGAAACAAATTATAAGCTATTGCAGCCTGCAATTATGACTTTATGGAAATAACTGCCTATACAGTAGACCCCCCCTATAACATGGGTTCACATAATGTGGATTCATATATTGCGGCAAAAAAATTGCGATCGTATTCGTATAAAGACGCTAAAAGAGACTCGTGAAATGCGGTAAAACGTCATCGCTGACTCGTGTCGTGACAGGATTGGTCAAATCTAGACCAATAGCGGATATTGCACAAACCGTTGAGTTTAAATGAGCAGCGGAACTACTAAAACCAATTATTATTTAACATCCATAAAAATTATATTTATGTTAATAATGTCTCCAAAGTTCAACAAATTTCTCGCAGAAAAATAATTTATCAGGAAGTACATGAGCACTATTCAATGCACCACTCCATGACGAAAACAAGCTTAAGCAATGGCGTCATCGAATGGTGCACACTCAGCAAGTAATCCTACAATTTTTTGTTTATAGCATAGTTTATATGGATTATTCCCAAGAAATTATATGTGTTTGGGAAATGTTGAGTCAAATTAGTCTAGAAATGATTAATTTTATGGAAGAAAACCTTTCAAACAGCCACAGTCTGTAAACTTCATACGTGGCGGGCTGTGATTGGCTCATGTATTTAAGGACTCGTAGAACGTAAATTTCATAAAAAGTGGAACATATCTATCGCATTATAGGGGGGTCAACTGTATTTTGTTTTATATATTAATTAATTGTAATATTTTATTAAAAATTAAATTAGAGAAAAATAAAAATTCAAACAAGCATTCATGAACAACATTCAAAATTAAATTGTTGCTGACAATACATACTAAAATGTGCTAGTCTTATTGCAGATCACCAGCATGCATAAAAGATAGAAAATGATATCCTAATCTGTCCTACCCAAAATAACTTATGAGGATTTTAATCAGATTAACATACAGATCCCCCTAATAATAGGTTACTACTTTACTTTTTAGCCATCTGGCTGACCTTTCAAGTTTTGGTTTTGAAAACATATGCAATTTTGTTTTTACATAATTTTGATTTAACAGTCTGGAAATGACATTTAATTTTCTTTTTACAAAATTTATTTTAATTTAATAAATTTCAGTAAATTGACCTTTTTAAAAATGTCTATTTGATTTTATTTCTATGAAAAAGTTTCCATACTTTGTTTTTATAAAAACTGTTCTTTTCTTAAAAAAATTCTTATAATTTGCATTTAAGACTACTAAACATGCTCAAGTATATTTTGGTTTTTATGACTTACTTGAATGTGAAGCAACAATCAATCTTTCATTCTAACTTTAGCTCATGACTGAAGCAATAAAAAAAAACCAACTTAATTTAAGGTTTGATGATTTGTTTGCATTTTATTTAATTTCTTCTAATTTCTTTCAGTATGAAATAATTTTTGCATACCGTTTGGTATTGAGCTAAAGGAATTTTGCTGTTTAATTGAACAAGCCAAATAAAGATAAAATTTGTGCAAATATAAATTTATTAAATTTTACTAATAAATTGCAATCATCCCATCTCTGATTTATTAACTAAATTGAAATTTTTTGTTTAAACATATCCTGTTATATTAATTGCTTTATCTTATTATCCTTATTAGTTTTTAAGGTCTAGAACCAATCTTCCATTTCTCCATACAAATGATATCCTTCTTTACAGATTTTTTGAAAATGCATCTACCATATAAAAACCAAATTGGATGTATATGAAAAATATAATTTAAATAATAAAATTAAATATAAATACATCTGAAAATTGTACTCCATATAATGTTAATTACAATAAATAAGGCAAAGAATTTTATTTTAAATCAATTTTAATACTTTTGTATAATTAATTATATTATTACATTCACTTACTTGTCAGATTCGTCTTTTGTTTCAATTACATCTGTAATAAAAGTGTTTGGTTTCAGAAATCCATAATTATTTCAAATTAATTACAATTAAAAATGAAAAATAATCAACATAAAACAATATGCAAAACTAAAATTTTACAATTTCTGTAATTCCTCTCTTTTTACTTGTTTACCTTTGTTTTTTTAAGAAGTTATTCCTCAACAAAAAACCATGTAAACTGTTACTTCTGGTGTGTATAAAAAAGGATTAAGATAGACTCGAAAATTTGATATTTTTGTAAATAGTCGAAAACTTCAATTATGTAAAATTTTACATGTTAACAAGATAATGCTACTCAGAATTGG